CCTCTCTGTGACTGTCTTTGTTTACAATTAGTCTCCCACAATGACTGGCTGTAGGGCGTCTTGCTGGTTCCTATATTGTTTTTTATTGACTCTAGGAGGTAACCTATACTTTGATTTATTATATTATAACCAGTAATAGTGAATATTTTTTATATTAAGTTTAATGCTTAAACTATTGTTTTAAAGGATACGTGATGTGCCAAATGTGTGTGTTTTGATGACGTGACGTCACGGCTCCCGTTATCCATTCCTTTACTGACGAACTAAAGTAAATAGTATAACCAGGTTTGCTGATTATATTGTATTAGTAATGTAGTATTAGGATGTAATGTGTCGGATTTCCGACACTCGCTGACACCTACATATACTTCGGTGCTGATCAAGTAGGTGTGGCGGCCTACCACAGGGAAACAGCAAAATCAACCATGTACAGGTGACCGGAAGGTCAATACACCTTTGTTCCTATAGCGTCTGAGACGCTTGGCACTTGGGGTAGGAGCGTCATAGAATTTCTCAAGTAATTGGGTTCCAGGTTCAATGACATCACCAGAGACCCAAGGCCACCAATTTCTTGCTTCAGCGCGTCTATGTGGCGATCCAGAGGGGAAAACGCCTACTGCATCCTAGGTTCTTGTCTGGAAATGGAGGAGCTCCAAAATATCCATAACCATTAAACACTAATTGTATTAACTAATATACATTTTTTAACCTTTTAATATCGAATAAAGCACAACAAAACACAAAACGAAGGAGGGTGGTAAGACAAAATAAGAGAGAAACTGTATTGGAGGGGAACTAAACATTCTCTAATGTGTTATGTGTGATTTCCTCCGAGGCTAAGGGGTCCCCTTCTCCCAGCCAGAGGTAGTACTCTGGCTGGGAGTACTACGCAGCTCCCAGATATATATATATATATATATATATATATATATATATATGTCGTACCTAGTAGCCAGAACGCACTTCTCAGCCTACTATGCAAGACCCGATTTGCCTAATAAGCCAAGTTTTCCTGAATTAATATATTTTCTCATTTTTTTCTTATGAAATGATAAAGCTACCCATTTCATTATGTATGAGGTCAAGTTTTTTTTATTGGAGTTAAAATTAACGTAGATATATGACCGAACCTAACCAACCCTACCTAACCTAACCTAACCTATCTTTATAGGTTAGGTTAGGTTAGGTAGCTAAAAAAGTTAGGTTAGGTTAGGTAGGTTAGGTAGTCGAAAAAACATGATTTCTTGAAAACTTGTCTTATTAGGCAAATCGGGTCTTGCATAGTAGGCTGAGAAGTGCGTTCTGGCTACTAGGTACGACATATATATATATAACCTAACCAAGATTACTATCCGAGTGCCGGCGGTGGAGTGGTTCAAATAGCCTCGGCTATCACCTCATTTTGTCCGGTCGTGATGGTCAAGTGGATTAAGGCGTCTTGTACATACCAGTTGCATTGCTCCTGGGAGTATGGGTTCGAGTCACTTCTGGGGTGTGAGTTTTCAGTTGCATATTGTCCTGGGGACCATTCAGGCTTGTTCGCATTTGTGTTCCTCACGTGTGCCCCAAAGAATGAGGTGATTTGGTAAAATGCTATGCCCAAGATTACTATCCGAGTGCCGGTGGTGGGGTGGTTCAAATAGCCTCGGCTATCACCTCATTTTGTCCGGTCGTGATGGTCAAGTGGATTAAGGCGTCTTGTACATACCAGTTGCGTTGCTCCTGGGAGTATGGGTTCGAGTCACTTCTGGGGTGTGAGTTTTCAGTTGCATATTGTCCTGGGGACCATTCAGGCTTGTTCGCATTTGTGTTCCTCACGTGTGCCCCAAAGAATGAGGTGATTTGGTAAAATGCTATGCCCAAGATTACTATCCGAGTGCCAGCGGTGGGGTGGTTCAAATAGCCTCGGCTATCACCTCATTTTGTCCGGTCGTGATGGTCAAGTGGATAAGGCGTCTTGTACATACCAGTTGCGTTGCTCCTGGGAGTATGGGTTCGAGTCACTTCTGGGGTGTGAGTTTTCAGTTGCATATTGTCCTGGGGACCATTCAGGCTTGTTCGCATATATATATATATATATATATATATATATATATATATATATATATATATATATATATATATATATATATATATGGGGTATATATATATATATATATATATATATATATATATATATATATATATATATATATATATATATATATATATATATATATATATATATATATATATATATATATATATATATATATATATATATATATATATATATATATATATATATATATATATGTCGTACCTAGTAGCCAGAACTCACTTCTCAGCCTACTATGCAAGGCCCGATTTGCCTAATAAGCCAAGTTTTCATGAAATAATGTTTTTTCGTCTGCCTAACCTACCTAACCTAGCTTTTTTTGGCCACCTAACCTAACCTTACCTATATATATAGGTTAGGTTAGGTAGGGTTGGTTAGGTTCGGTCATATATCTACGTTAATTTTAACTACAATAAAAAAAAAATTGACCTCATACATAGTGAAAAGGGTAGCTTTATCATTTCATAAGAAAAAAATTATAGTAAATATATTAATTCAGGAAAACTTGGCTTATTAGGCAAATCGGGCCTTGAATAGTAGGCTGAGAAGTGCGTTCTGGCTACTAGGTACGACATATATATATATATATATATATATAATGTTGAATATGACCGAGAGGTAAGATTAATAATTCTAACACGAATTTCCTCATTGTATCTTATGTTTTTCTTCTCTGTCGAGAGTAGTTAAAAAATTAACTCTCCAAAATTCATTTGCACACTTTATTTATGGTTAGATGCCTGGCAGCTTTTCTAAAGAACACTTTTTACATTTTCAAAGACAATTTTACATACTCAGATCGTGCTTATATTTGTTATTGGGTGAGGTGATATCATACAAATGTTTTTGGGTGAGGTGGCAGGACACAAATCGTATGGGAAGACAGAACACGAAACAATGGATATATTGAGTGTTATACCGTCCCGCTGGTTCGGGGTCTTGAAGTGGGTAGAAGGTAATTATGTGTTAATTGGCTCTTTGATTGCTGGTTTTTACTTTTTGATGTGTAGGGCCTCGCTGATGTCGAGTCTCCTGTTATTGTTGTATCTGTCGATAATTTCTGTGTTGTTTGTTAAAATTTCTCTAATAATAATCTGTTTGTATGAGGAGATTATATGCTCCTTGATAGACCCCTGTTGTTTGTGCATTGTTAATCGCCTAGAAAGAGACGTTGTTGTCTTGCCTATATACTGAGATCTTTGGGGCTGACAGTCCCCAAATGAGCATGTGAAGGGATTGACGACGTTGGTTTCTTTCAAGGCGTTCCGTTTGGTGTCTGGGGAGTTCTTCATAAGTAGGTTGGGCGTTTTCTTGTTTTTGTAGTAAATTGTTAATTGTATCTTCTGATATGTGCCTGTAGGGATAACGTTCCTATTAATAATATCTTTCAGGACACTTGCCTTTGTTTTGTGACCCATCAAAAAGAAGTTCTTGTTAAACAGTTTAATGGGGGGGGGGGGGGTACAGTTTTACAGGATTTTCTTTTCGACGGCTCACAAAACAGCGGAAAGTGCCCTAAATGATGATATTAATAGGAACGTTATCCCCACAGACACATATCAGAAGATACAATTAACAATTTACTACAAAAACAAGAAAACGGCCAACCTACTCATGAGGAACTCTCACGGTGGGGGAGAGTGCTCTCTCACGGTGGGGAGAGTGCTCTCACTCTCAGGGATGAGGGAGAGTGCTCTCACTCTCAGGGGTGGGGGAGAGGGCTCTCACTCTCACGGTGGGAAGTGTGCTATCACTCTCAGGGTGAAGGGGAGAGTGCTCTCACTTTCACGGTGAGGTGAGTGCTCTCACACTCACGGTGGGGAGAGTGCTCTCACTCTCACGGTGGGGGAGAGTGCTCTTTCTCTCAGGGTGGAGGGGAGAGTGCTCTCACTCTTAGGGGTGGGGGAGAATGCTCTCACTCTCACGGTGGGGGAGAGTGCTCGTTCTCTCAGGATGGAGGGGAGAGTGCTCTCACTCTCAGGGTGGCGGGAGAGTGCTCTCACTCTCAGGGTGGGGGGAGAGTGCTCTCACTCTCACGGTGGAGAGAGTGCTTTCACTCTCACGGTGGGGAGAGTGCTCTCACTCTCATAGTAGAAGGGGGGAAAGAATGCTCTCACTCATTGTGGAGGGAGGTGCTCTCTTTCCCATGGTTGGGAGAGCGAATAGTTCAAATACCAGCTGGACCTATTGTTCAGGTCTGTCTGTCTCCACTCCATCCATCTATTTATCCACCCATCTGTCTATTTAACTGTCTATCAATCCATCCATCTATCCATCTACTAAGCGAATCGTTTATCCATATATATTCATTTACACATCTATCCATCCACATCCACGTATCAATCTCCCCATCCATCTATCTGTCCAACCTATCCATGCATCTATACATTCATCTATCTATTCCTTATCTCTCCATATATCTATCCATTAATCTTTCTATCCATCCATCTCTCTATCAATATATCCATCCATTTTTCCATCTACCCATATATTAATCCATTTATCTCTCTCCATATATCTATCCATCTATCTTTTTCCATCCATCTGTGTATCCATCTATCATCTATTTATTCATCTGTACATCTATCCATCTGTTAATCCATCTATCTACTGTCTGTGTCTCCCTATCTCATTATATATGTTTCTGTTTATATCTCTGTCTCTACCACTGTCTCTCTCTCCAATTAATAATTTATTCTATTAATTGGAGAGGTGAAAAAAATATTGCTAAGTGCAGGGATTTTGTTGCATGGAGATTGATCGAGTCAGCCCTAATGAACGAGCGTCCCAATACTCTTAACGTCAGCACCGGCCTGTGCAAACTAGCTTTGCATTTAGGATTTAATTTTGTCCAACAGCTTATGAAAAGCCCATCCCCCACCCCCATCCCCCTCCTTAATACAGCTTTGATAAGGGCCGTAGCTAATTTGGGATGTTTCCCTGCCTTGTACTTTGGTGGTGGTTTAGGCATTCCTGAATACTGTTGGCTCGTGATGATTAGATTATAATTTAATAATTGTTTCTCCAGTTTCCGTGAATGATTATTTTCACTTAGTATATCATGCTTTAAGTTGTTCATTTTTTATGGATAACCAATACTGGAACATGGGTGTGACGTCTGACCAAGACTGGAACATGGGTGTGACGTCTGACCAAGACTGGAACATGGGTGTGACGTCTGACCAAGACTGGAACATGGGTGTGACGTCTGACCAAGACTGGAACATGGGTGTGACGTCTGGCCAATACTGGAACATGGGTGTGACGTCTGACCAAGACTGGAACATGGGTGTGACGTCTGACCAAGACTGGAACATGGGTGTGACGTCTGACCAAGACTGGAACATGGGTGTGACGTCTGACCAAGACTGGAACATGGGTGTGACGTCTGGCCAATACTGGAACATGGGTGTGACGTCTGGGGTGTGACGTCAGGCCAATACTGGAACATGGGTGTGACGTCTGACCAAGACTGGAACATGGGTGTGACGTCTGACCAAGACTGGAACATGGGTGTGACGTCTGACCAAGACTGGAACATGGGTGTGACGTCTGACCAAGACTGGAACATGGGTGTGACGTCTGGCCAATACTGGAACATGGGTGTGACGTCTGGCCAATACTGGAACATGGGTGTGACGTCTGGCCAATACTGGAACATGGGTGTGACGTCTGACCAAGACTGGAACATGGGTGTGACGTCAGGCCAATACTGGTACATGGGTGTGACGTCTGGCCAATACTGGTACATGGGTGTGACGTCGACCAATACTGGAACATGGGTGTGACGTCTGGCCAATACTGGTACATGGGTGTGACGTCTGGCCAATACTGGTACATGGGTGTGACGTCTGGCCAATACTGGTACATGGGTGTGACGTCTGGCCAATACTGGTACATGGGTGTGACGTCGACCAATACTGGTACATCGGTGTGACGTCGAATACTGGTACATGGGTGTGACGTCGACCAATACTGGTACATGGGTGTGACGTCTGGCCAATACTGGTACATGGGTGTGACGTCTGACCAAGACTGGTACATGGGTTTGACGTCGACCAATACTGGTACATCGGTGTGACGTCGACCAATACTGGTACATGGGTGTGACGTCGACCAATACTGGTACATGGGTGTGACGTCGACCAATACTGGTACATGGGTGTGACGTCGACCAATACTGGTACATGGGTGTGACGTCGACCAATACTGGTACATGGTGTGTGACGTCGACCAATACTGGTACATGGGTGTGACGTCGACCAATACTGGTACATGGGTGTGACGTCGACCAATACTGGTACATGGGTGTGACGTCGACCAATACTGGTACATGGGTGTGACGTCGACCAATACTGGTACATGGGTGTGACGTCGACCAATACTGGTACATGGGTGTGACGTCGACCAATACTGGTACATGGGTGTGACGTCGACCAATACTGGTACATGAGTGTGACGTCGACCAATACTGGTACATGAGTGTGACGTCGACCAATACTGGTACATGAGTGTGACGTCGACCAATACTGGTACATGAGTGTGACGTCGACCAATACTGGTACATGAGTGTGACGTCGACCAATACTGGTACATGGGTGTGACGTCGACCAATACTGGTACATGGGTGTGACGTCGACCAATACTGGTACATGGGTGTGACGTCGACCAAGCTCAAGAGGCGTTTAACCTGTCGTCTTCAATCACGTGCCCCTAAAAATCACATGAGACAAGCCTACACCTTCACCCTAACGAGAGAAATGCTGAATAAAAACACATGCATAATAAAAATAGGCCTAGATGTAAGGAGGCTACAAATCCTTGAAGCTCTACACATAACAGTAGACCATCTCACAATAAATTTTAAAATAACAGAATTGTTCACTCTATCCATCATGAGAGAGAGAACAAGACCGGAACGCGAGTATGCCAACGATGTTGTCGCTGCCCAGAGCGCCATGCCACTTAACGTTACCTGAGCTCTAAATAAACTATTGATTCATTGATTGATGAAGATTAAGCCTCCAAGAGGTGGCACGGGCATGAATAGTCCGTAATTATTAGATTTTTTGGAGTGAATGTGATCTTTGGTCGTGAAGGGATATAGTAGTTATCCTTCAGTCTCGGGAGACAATGGAGTTGCCTTCTGGTTATCAATCTCCAGGGCACGACGTCTGGGTCGATAGGGGGGAGAAGCTGTTACCCATTCAGCATGTCCTCCCTCTCCACTTTGCTGAAATTATCCAATGGAAAGGCTAACGCCAATACACATGGTTCCCAGCACCGTCGCAGGAGCTGCCAGAACGAGGTCGACGTCAACAACGAACTGCCTTAGGGGCTCCAACTCCGGATTTTTCCTCGAGGTTGACTCTTGAAGCCTTTCCCAAAAGAGGGATATGGCCGCCAGGCAGCGGAGGTTTAGGATCAGGGTTTTCCTTCCCCTAGATGAGCTGCCTTCCCAGGCTATCGAGTCCCATCTATCCGGAGCAGCTGGTTTTAAGGCGCCAGAGGCACGCCCTCGCACCTTCTCCTGTCAGTAAAAGCAGTTCCGCCGGACTAAAGACTAAGCCACCGGTGCAGGCCAGGAGTTGGACTTGGTTGTCAGAGGCTATTTGAGACGCACGCCGTAAGGGAGCTTTATATAGGTCGTGGGAGCTCGTCCCCCATTACCACCCCCTGGCTATGACAACCCCTTCGAACGTGAAGGGATATAATGCTCGCTTAAATCGTCGTTCCTTACTTTGTGGCTGCTATTGCAGGGAAGGATACAGCTTGACAGAATTAATGAGGGTGTCCAGCTCCTAGACACTTTACATTAACAGAGTGTGGCAGTGTTGATGGCTTCAGGGTGGTTACTGCAAGATTCGGGGACTCTTAATTAAAACTCTTCTAAGGTCGTTGATTGCTTCACATTCCAGAGGACAGTGAAGTATTGGCTTTTCTGTGATTGTTTGGCAGAAAATACATTCCCTTTGTCGGGGTTCACCAATCTCCCAGTTGCATCTGTAACCTAGACGTAGTCTATATAACCGAACTGATATTTCCCTGTGGATTCCTATTGGGATATTTAACCTGTCTAACTTGATGGCCTTAAGATACCATATTGCAGAGGGCGAACCTTCTGCTGCTCTCTGGTGTAGATGGGCTTTGTTGAGGTGTGAGAGTTTTTTGGTGAAATTTTTTTTTATGTACTCTAGGCTGGGTTGAATTGTTTTGTGGATCACTGGATGACGAGTTGCCAATTTAGCAATTTCATCGGCTTTTTCATTTAATGAAATTCCAGCATGGGATGAGATCCAGTTTAGGGTTATGTTGAATCCTCTGCCTTTAGCTACTGCTCCAAGATACAAAATTGTGGTAATTATTTCCATGTTGTCTTTACGCTGCTTTTTTCCTAATATTTGAAGTGCAACTTTTGAGTCTGCGTGTATCTTTGCATTTAGAGTATTTTGTTCAATCACATATGCAAATGCCTGCTGTATGGCAAACAGCTCAGTTTGGGTTGGCGATACTGGTCCTTCCAGTCTCCAATATGCCTTTTCGCTGTCCGTGCAAAGAGCAGCGCCAGCACTCTCATATTCTGTGTCAACCGATCCGTCTGTGAAGATGTGGGTGGCTCCTACTACGGCAATGCTGCTCATTTGCTTTTCTATGATGCGCCTTAGGATTGTTGGATCATAGGCAGCCTTTTTCATGAGAAGACTTTCTATTACTATTTTGAAGGTAGGCTCCTCCCACGGTGGGGAACAAGTGTAGTTTGGGTGTGGTTGATCTCCTCCTCTATCAAGACTCATGCTTTATAATTTAAGCTTTGTTTATCTTTCTTCATAGGAAAGATTTCTAATTTGGGGAATTAACTTAGTCATCCTATGCTGGACACGTTCAAGTGAATTTATATCCATTCTACTGTACGGCGACCAAAACTGAACTGCATAATCTAAATGGGGCCTAACCAGAGCAAGATATAGCTGAAGAACACCACCAGGTGTCTTGTTACTAACGTTTCGATTAATAAATCCCAGTGTCCTATTTGTCTTATTACGAACATTCATGCATTGATCCTTCGGTTTTAAATTTTTACTAATCGTAACTCCCAGATCCCTTTCGCTATCCGACTTCGCAATCTCAACACCATCCAGCTCGTATCTTGTAACTCTATCATCGTTACCTAGCCTCAAAACTTTACATCTATCAGCATTAAACTACATCTGCCAATCTTTTGACCATTTCAAAACCCTATTTAGATCAACTTGAAGTGATAGTGAGTCGTCTTCCGTGTTAATTTCCCTACCGATTTTTGTATCATCGGAAAATTTGCAAATGATGCTATTCAAACCTGAATCTAAATCATCTATATATATTGTAAACAAGAGCCCGCCAAACACACACCGAAACTACGACGTTGGTGCAACGTTCGAACAAGTTTTAAGCCCTCCTAACCAGTTATAACAACCAATATAGCAAGTTGTAACAACGTTCTAATACGTCATAAGCACGTTAAGCCAAGATGTAACAACTTTATTACAAGTTGTAACAAGCGGAAAATAGAGACAGTTTCGGTTTGTGTTTCCAGGGAGAGGTCCCAGGAGAGAGCCTTGAGGCACTCCACTTACAACATTATCCCACTCTGACTTAACCCCATTTATACTAACTCTGTTTCCTTCAGAATAGCCATGACCTAATCCAACTTAATATAGCTCCCCCAATACCATGAGCCTCTATCTTTTTATTCAGTCTTTCGTGTAGCACTGTATCAAAAGCTTTGCTAAAGTCAAGGTCCACAACATCACAATCCATACCACTATCAACTGCTTCAACTATGCGGAATAAAAAGATGGCAAATTTGTTAAACATGAACGGCCATTTGTAAAACCATGTTGCGACTCATTTATTAATTAATGTTTTTCAAGATGAAGACGAATTGTATTTGCAATTATCGATTCAAGTAACTTTCCCACAATAGACATTAGGCTAATTGGCCGATAGTTTGACGCAAGTGATCTATCTACTTTCTTAAAAATTGATACTACATTAGCAACCTTCCATGACTAATGATTTATTAAATATGGTAGACAATGG